AAACCCCCCACCCTGTGCACCCCCCGAAACATCAGTTAGTGTTCCATTCAATGCAAATAGAATCAACAAATAAGATAGAAAAAAAAACAAGTACCGAACTCTCGAAGCCATAAATAAATWAAAAGAAAAAAAWGCAAGAAATRAAAYTGAAAATGAKAACAACAGYTAAAGATATAAAATYACAYACCGACAATAAAATGGGCAGGCAAAGTGCATCACTCGTAACAGAAAATGTAATGTACATGAAAAGTCRTGAACGATGCGAAGTACCTGACAGGCTGACACTAATATCACACATGCAAATGCAACATGRTACAATGTATCCTACAGGCTACTRCTAATGCACTGGCACCACATGTCGAAAAAAATACAAGAAACAATAGTCTACAAGTCGTGTCGTAGCTGCCTAAATGATACAAGAAAAAAAAAATAATGTACAGTCTGAACTCAATAGTGTGCAACCGACGACACTCTACGAACACCCTACTTAGCCTACTGGCACCAAAATAATACTCAACGAACACCGTACTGCTACCAAAATCATACAAACCAACAAGTAAAGCATGCACACAACCACTGAGTGTCTGACAATACTGAGACAAGACGAGACGACTCAGACTACCAAAAAAACTACAACCGCACAACATGACGACGTACAGTGCGAGTAGGGGAGAAGCGGAGTGTTGGCCTCATCGGTCAAAGACCCTTCTTCCCCTTCCCGCTGTGTTTCCTCGTGCCCCCTCGAGTGCCGGATGTCGACCTCTTCCTCCCTCGTGAGGATGAAGAAGTTCGTGTAGCGGAGCGTTTAGATGCACGAGTCTGTGGGGGTCCTGGGGAAGGTGGGGGCTCATCGTAGTCATCGTCGTCGTCACCATCGGAACTGCTCCTGCTATCCTCCTCTCCCTCCTCCTCGCCCTCGTAGTCCTCGTCCGCATCCCGCACAGCCGCATCCGTATCAGGATCATCCTCCTCGATGGTGACTGGGCCTCCTCCCTTCCTCAACACAACAACCCTCGGACTAGCCTCCGCAATGGTCTGTTTACGGCGGGAACTACGAGGCATCCCCAACCCCTCCGCCCTCGAACTCTCTCTAAGTGCTGCGCCTCCCTCTGCAGGCACGGGGCGTGGACAAGGAGGTACTCCACGCTTGCGTGGAGTCTGATCCTCCACGGCACGCGTCGCTGCTCTCAGAGCGTACTCCAAGGTATCGGTTGACACTCCTCTGCCACAACCTCGCTGACGCTCACAACCCGATGTCGGTACCTCCCTCGCCATGGTCGTCCTAGCGCCTCCTCCTCCCAAGCCTGGCTGAAGGCATGAGTGTGCTCCGTGATACGGCAGGGGGAATCCAAATGTATATCTGTCCTCCCGAATATCATCGTGTCCCACACGTCCTACTGAACTGCTGTCGTGTCACGAATCCTAGATCTCCCAGGCGTGTGTGGGGATCGAGAGCCTCTGCCTGTGGGTGACGATGATGGATCACCTGCAGGTGCTCTGGGAGGAGGGGGTGGCATGTCTCCTGTACGTGGCGCTGTCTCCGTCACGCCACCCGAAACCCCTGGAACATGTCTCGCGGTATGTCCTCCAGTGGACCTCCAGTGGAGGTAAACCCAGACCACACGGGCGACGCAGGACCCCATGGAACCGAAGGATTCGACTGCCACGGTGGGTGCTCGAGCTTCCGGTCGAAGATCCGCCGGTCCAAGCGAGTAACATCGCGCACAGCCTCTCTCGCCAACTTCTCTGCATCCAAAGGACGACGGACTTCCTGCGGAGCAAAGTGGCTAGGAAGACGTGGGGGCACAACCACCGGCTCGGACCCCAAATCTGTGATAACGGGCGGTGGCACACCATGCACTGCCATCTGAACCGCCTGCGGCTGTCGGGCCTGAGCCAAGTGCAGACCCGAGAACGGAACGACTGGACCCGTCGCTATCTCCTGCCCCTCGCGTCGTGAGTCTATAGCCCCCTTGACTCGTCGATGTCCTGCCTGCACTGCCTCATCCACCGCCTGAGTCCGTCCCTCCACAGCAACGTCCGCTATCTCTGCTCCGCCCGGCATAGCCTCGGGTACCGGCTCTGCTGCCACTCCCTCCGCAACGTCCTCCCCCGCCACCACCCCACCCTGCACACAATCCCCCCCTATCTCTAGACGCATGGCGTCCTCTACGGCCCGTGCTAACGCCTGAGCATGAGGGTCAGTCGATGCCAAAAGTCTAGCCCTCTCTCGCTCCTTGATGTCGTGTGCTGCATCGATGGAGCCCGATCCGTCGATGTCGCCCCGGCGCAACTGGGTGGAAGGCCCACCGACAAATCCAAGTCTAAGTGGGTCCCCATCTCCGAATCTGAAATCGCAAACCCCCTCTCCACACTCAGGGTCGTACCCGCTATGGCCGGACTGAGCTCCTCCGTGAGGAACTGCTGCATGAGGCGCTCGTCATCGCCCCCACGCTGCACCTCGGCCTGTGCGGCTATCTCCTCCTCCACTACAGCTGCCGACGGTGCGTCCTCCTCCTCCAGTGCTGCTGCCACCTCAACCTCCACTGCTGCTGCTCCTCCACCTGCTCCTCCTACTGCTGCCACCTGCCCCTCCACTGCCGCACCTCCTCCTGCCGTTGGTGGATCCTCCGCCAGCACTGATGCTGCCATCTCCTCTAGCACTGATGCTGCTGCTGCTGCTGCTATCTCCTCCACCGCGGCCGCGATCGTCGCGTCTGACACAGCCGCTGGTGCCATCAGACTCTCCACTGCCGCTGCCGAAGGTCCCCCCTCCTCCTGCCCTATCCCCGGGGAAGGTGATCATAACCTTAGCTGGCGGACTGCCCCGCCTCTGTGGAGAAGGCCTCGCTGAGGCAAAGAGGACCCCAACTCCTCCCTGTCCCGCTGAAGTGGCGAGACGGGTGATCGTGGTGCAGGACTCGGAGCAGGAGGTGGCGGCATGGACGAATCCCGCCTCGTCGGAGTGGGGTCGTCGCCTGCGCCTCTGGGCCGCCCGTGGAAGCGACCTCACCGAATGGGCCCCAAAAGTCCTCGTCTCCCCCCAACATCTCGCTCTCCGCCCGGTCCGCCGCCCGTCGTGCAGTCTGTGTCCTCGTGTCCTCGGAGCCGGGATCCTCGTGCGTCTCGTCGATCTCCCGGGGAATGCGGAGCGCAGGGTCATCTGCCGCCTCGGGTATCGGCTCCTCGTCTGAGTCGTCGTCCTTGGGGTAGGGACAAAAAATGCAAGCACTTCTATCGAAAACGGCATCACCCGAGGGTGGTGTGGACGCCCCGATGGGATCCCGGGTAATAAGTGCAACCTGACGGGCAATCTCCTCGTCCGTCATCCCCCTGCGAGTTCCCGTGCGCACAGGCTCCAACTCGAGTCCTGCCTGGCAATCCAACATGCCCTCGTCCCACTGCCATGGCAGCACATAACCGCATCCAGCTCGCCGATACTCAGTCAACTTCACATTTGCGGTGATCTCAACAAGTTGCACGACCTTCTCGAAGGCCAACTGGTTGCGCTTCTTCGTGTGAATGCCCTCGTGGACTGCCCAGTTCCTCTCCGCTGGAGAGGCGCAAGACCACATGTGCATCACCCGAAGAGCGCAACGCTGCAACTGTGGCGCGGAGGACCCGAACTGAGACCACCAAGACGCGCACTCAATCGTCTCGCTGTCGCCGCTGCACGCACGCCCACGAGCACGCCCCTCCGGACCGCCCCAATCTCGAACCTGCCCTGCTGAATGTGGAAGTCCTCAAGCTGCCGACATGCAAGGATGTACTCTGCACCCTCCAGCTCGAATCCCGTCTGTGTCAAAATGTACCTCTTGGCTTGCCCTACAAGCCATGCATCGTACCTCTCCACCTGCCCCGAAAAGTAGCGAACGTGTCGCCTGCGGGGGTTAAGTAAGAACCCTGCGCAGTGAGCCAGCTCAAGCATGTGCTGTATGCGAGCCTGCACACGCCTGATGATCCGGTCGGAGAAAGACATCCCCAAAGGGGCGCATGCGACTGTGACACGGCGGACAAGATCCTGCGTCCACTCGATCATGAGGGACATGTACTCTCCTCCACGATCCATCCTCCTGAGCAACTCCATGACGGGCTGCATGATATGGACGATGGTGGCCACCCTCTGCCACCATGGATGCCATCTGATCTGTCAGCGCACCCACCGCGCCATGACGCACACATCGGCGGACCACGGGATGGAAGCAAAAGCCCGCGCGTCGTCCGCTCGCATCATGTCCTGCAAAGTGTCCTGCAGGGCCAACAGCCTCTCGCAAGAAAGAATAAGCCCCTTCTCGGGCCTGCGCGTCCTAAAAAAATGAAGGGCGGCCTGGTGGGTTTTGAAAAACACCACCAGCACTCGAGCGCGTGTGATCGCGTCCACAAACGCGTCGCAACTCGTCCCCATGTCTGACAACAATTTGGTGCAGACATGGACGGAGCACGGGAGCCAAGTGATCCTCCTCAGTGCAGAAGGCAGGGACGGCGAGGTCAATGCCCTCGCAGCCCCCACATAGGCAGAAGCGGAATCAGTGCATATCGCATTGATCCGCTGCGGCCCGCCAAAGCTAAACTCGTGGAAGATGGTAACCCATCTATGAAGGACATGCACTGCATCGTCCGGCTTGCCCTCTCGATTGATCGTCGTGTACACGACGACCCCTCGAGAGCCAGCAGCAACGAAATTCACGATCGGTCTCCTGTCTCGTGATTTCCTCCCATCGGAGAGGAGGGTGGCACCAGTCACCCATAATGGCTGCCTCACCTCCTCCAACTCCTCCGCCAACTCCGCACGGTGGGTCTCCACTGCCCGCATACTCGCAATCTCGCAGTGGTTGGGGAGCACTGCGCGCGGGGAACTGCCAGGCTGCTCAAGAAGCACCTGCTGATATGCCTTCCACGCCTGGTTGCRGAAGGCATTGAAGGAGACCCCGCTGGAATACAACCRGCGAAGGAATGCCTTCTTGTGGCGGGCAACCCACTCGCCACCGTAGACATCAGTCACCTTCTGCTGCCGAAGCCTCTTCCCTGCTGGGGKGGCAGCCGGATCACTCCCTCCTTCCTTCCTCTTGGAAGACCCCTCCGTTGCAGCTCCATTGCCTGCTCGCCTCCGCCAGTCCTCCAACCTCTCCCCAGTGCCTGAATAAACCTCAGGCACGTCCTCCCGTTCCGGGACTCCCTCGTCACCCGGGCCACGCGCCTCACGATCCACGTGGATCACGCCCTCCTCTATCTCACCGCCTCCACCACCCAAAGTGGGGTCTGTCGCACCATGCCCACCATCTCCCCGACCCCTCCCTCCGCCGGACGCCGCCCCGCCTCTCCTCCTCTTGCACCACCCGTTGTCAGGCGGCCACAAGTAGTGCGCCGCCTGAAAACGGCAGTTTAGGGGTTTAGGCTCAAGGTTAAGTTCGCGTTTTGACAGTGCTTTGGGATGACCAGGCTGCAGGAACTATGAGAACTCAGGGTACCCCTGATTCTGAGCGCACTGGATTTTAAGAGTGACCCCCGAAGACAGCAAGATGGATGGGTGCACTGAGCACAATTAGAGACCGTCATTTCCGGTCGTTCAGAGGACTGGAACCGTTTTGGCCTGCCGCGGAGAGGGATCGCGGAAACAGACCTCGCCGCGGCGTTTTGACGGCATACAACCGGGGCCGAAATGAGGCCTCGGATTTTTGTCTATTCTAATATCATGATTAAAAATAAAAGAAAAAGATTAAGACCTGAAGAGGAGCGGAGAAAAACGC